TTGCTCAGATATAGCTTGACAAAAACTTCCTTGGTTGTAGCCAAAGTTACTTTTTCGATAACTTCATAGACTTCTACCGGAGAACCAAACCCACAAGGAGCTGTCTTTTCAACTCTTTTTTATATGACCCATATGCAATCTGAAACTCTTGAATCTAGACGTTATATGGCAAAGTTTTGTTATGTATAAACATACTAACTATATAATTTTCGTAGGTCGGTATATGTGAAAAAATTGGTGCAGAGGATCATCGAAAAGAGTTTCTGGAAAAATTGATCTACCATATATTCCAGATCAATTAGAATATATTTGATTTGATCAAATTTAAATTAATCTAATATTTGATTTAAGAAACCTTACTTAATGTTACATAACTTTTAAACATTAATTAATTAAAAGTTTTTTAAAAAAATTCCTTAACAAATTAATAAAGTAAGTTTTTTAAAAAATATTTTTATTTAAAAAGTATATTGCTAAAATTAATTATTAAAATTTTGTTACAAAAATTAGGTTTAAAAATCAGAATAATTCGCGTTTATCACGTGAATTTTGTGATGTTTTAGAATTGATTGAATAAATTTTTAAAATATCACGATAAACTCGAATTGTTCCTATTTGCCTAGTATAACGTTAAACATCTATGGTGCATTTTAGTAATATAAATTTATATGTATTTAAGGTTTGGACATTTTACCTAGAGAATAACGGGTTTTGTGAATAGTAATCCGCAAGAATGAGTGAATCGAACCAATCATTGGATAGTGTATAACACATATTCTGATTTGTTCCCAATAAAAATCTGCACATGCTGTTTTGCATATGTAACAAGCCGATCCAAACTTACAGTCAGTTTTATGATTCTCTGCTTTAACGTTAAACCCTCTTCAATAAATTCTGAACTAGATCTAAAATAATTCTAAAATAACGTACTATCAAAATAACAAGTGTTAGAAGATTGTTTTATAAAAGTTTCCCTATCTTTGTTTGGTGAAAGAGATTCTAGTTACCTTTTATCTATTATATAAACCTAAGAACATTGTAACCAAAATGAATGATCAAAATCAAAATGGTCACTCAAATTTTCTTCAAATAACCACAGGGAACTTTGACGGTAATTTTAAATGAGCCTTGCTACATAAATGATATAAGTTGACGAATTTCATTTCAAATATTTAGATTCTGTGAATATTTCACCAACAATAATATCGGCTATCAATAATTTATCGATTAATGAATCAGACAATGATGGCGCTTTAGAAGACGAACAAAGTATCATAGATGATGATGATGATGATGACATGGAACTTGGCGAAAATTCTCGAACATCGACAAGGGTACTTCAAAATTCGATTCATTCTTCTTGGTTAAATAAGGCGTTTTATTTATAAATGCAATTTTTTTATAGAGGAACAATTATAGTCAATATTTATCAACAAGAAATGCTACCGGATCTACTGTCTCGTTCAATGGTTCAACTACAACAATGTCTCAGCCGGTTGCACCAGCAGAATTATTACGTGCTGTTGTTATAAATCGCCCAACTGCGCAAATGATCGAAACCTTTCGGTTCTCAAAACCAAGGGTCGAAATGACTGAACAAGAAGTAATCGATTTTGTTATGAAGTATAATATTTTTATCCAGTTCTATTAATATATTAGGTTAATAAAATATATGCATGGAATTTATTAAATTTATTCTCTGTTTAGTCCAGTCCCACAAGGGCAAAAAGTTCTTTGTAAGATAACTAGAAGCAAAGAGGGATTCGGAAAACTTTACCCACAATATGAGCTATACATTGAGGAACCGATTGAGAATGATGAACCTAGAAGAACATTTCTTCTTGCAGCAAAAAAGAAGAAAAATAGTAAAAATTCACATTATGTTATTACAACCGCGCGACTTGATTCCGCTGTTTCATCGAAAAAAATCGTTGGGAAAGTCAGGTTGATTAAATAATCTAATTTAAATCTATAAAATTATAGTTTTATATATTGTTTTGACATGAAGTTACATATATTTGAGATAGATCAAATTTTTTGGGTACAGCTTTTGTTATGTATTCAAACGGACGAAGTCCGTTTAAACGTGAACCAGAATTAGCAGATATGCAAATTAGAGAAGAATTAGGAGCCGTAGTTTACGTAAGTCAGCAAACTGCATGCACATATTGACTTTCAAGGAAAACAGCAGTATAACTAATAACTATGATGTTTGTAATGCAGGATCCAAATATTCTTGGATTTAAAGGTCCACGTAAGATGACTGTATTATTATTAGGCATGACCAGAAATGGAGAAAGACCAGAATTTAGACCTACTACCGTAAGCATTTGTACTTTTTTTCGATGGTTATCTGTAAGGCAAAAAAAATTTATTACAAACCATATCCGTTATTAGGAATCACAAACATTGATTGGAAAATTTAGGAGCGGGGATCATCGGGATATTTTAATATTACATAATAAGTCACCGCAGTGGAACGAAGGTTTCAATATCTCCAATAAATTTAAATAAAATCAATGGTTTACTTTATTAATTTTTAAATTTTTTTTTAGAGACGCAATCATATGTTCTAAATTTTAATGGTCGAGTAACTATGGCCTCTGTCAAGAACTTCCAAATAGTACATGATAATGATTGTAAGTATTCAAAAAATATATTTTTTCAGTGCAAATTTACTTACGAAAATATCTATTAGTGGATTATATTATAATGCAATTTGGTCGTGTGACCGAAGAAACCTTCACAATGGATTTTATGTATCCAATGTGCCCACTTCAAGCTTTTTCCATTGCACTAACAAGTTTTGATGCTAAATTGGCATGTGAATAACATTGAGCTTGTCTGTTAACTCTTTCAAGTAGGTTACTTTGATATATGAGGTATATTAGAAGGATGAATTGATTATGATATTTAGATGCGTATATTTATAGTGATGTATAAGTTTGAGGGTTTGAGGGTTGTGCAGAGCATAGTCGATGCCACAAAATTATCTGAACTATTGTATTTTAGTGAGGACATAGGTTGTAATGTTTACATTTAACGAATTTATTTTTCATTTACGTATCCTAGTCATTTTATGAGATTTATTTATGTAGTAAATTATTAAGGTCCGTGACCTTGACAACTATTCTAGATGTTTTATTAATTTTCAAAAGTTTTATATTGTAATTAGTTACCAAGAATATATATTCTAGTATGTGAAGCTAAATAATAAATATTGTTTTATAAATTCAAATGGGCTAAAAGGCATAGTTATGATGCAGAGGGGCCCATGCAATATCTATATACGCGTGTAAAGACCAATAAAATTGTTCTTCGCGTGTAACGTAAATTTATAAAATGTGAAAAATTTCCAAACACATTTGTTTTTATTTCTATTCTTTTTAATTATACGAAACAATTTAGTTAGATCGCATTGTTTTACATGGCGATGCATACACTTGCATAATTCATAGAACTTTCTCTGCATGTCTTAACTTCAATCATAGAAATTTTTGGGTGTTATTAGCCTTTCTAACATTTGAGCTTCAGAGAAGAGGTGAAAGAAAAACACAAAAGGGCACTATTTCGAATTTATTGTTATTTCTCGCTTTTTAGTGATTTTAACCACTCATACTATATTTTTACATTGCAATATTATATATTACTAAACCATGTCCAATGCAGTTTTTGACAAAGTTTATAATTTTTATATCACTTTTTCAATAGCCCTATAAAAAAAATTGAATTGTAATTATTTTCCATGTTATTTCCAGAAATGTATCATATTTATTGAATTTTTATTGAAAATTTATGGAAATAACAAGGACTTACTCGCAAATTTTAGAAAAATTCCAGAAATGTATCAATTTAACGGAGTTTTTATTTATAAAATGGAACTACAACTGAATTTTTTTTTTATAGAGTAGATTACATTACACCTTTTTTTGTTATTAATGAGGTAATGAAATGCGACCTTTCAATTCACAGGAAGAATTAAGAGAAATTGTAACTTGTGCTATTAATAAGTTTGTTGATACATATTTTGAAAATTCAGAAGCATTAGAAAGATTGAACAGAATTTGTACACAGGTTAGTGGTTTTCTTAAATATTTTTCAATATCATTTGATAAATGGTGCCTTTTTTATATTGGAGTTTTGAATTTGTAAAGGCTTTGATCAAGAAGAAAGGTTATTAGTTTATTATTATAGATTCAACTTTATAAAAAATAGTTTTTGTAAATAAGTTAATTAAAAAATATATTACTAACCTATAGTTACAAGTATTACAGCTTTTAATATTATTAAAATATTTTTTAACATTATATTTAGATTATATAAATTTTTTAAAGCTATTATATTAAATAAAAGTAGCAAGTTTACAAATAAATTTTAGAAAAGTTTATTTGAATAAGTAGAAATTAAATTAGTAATGTTTATAGTATTTTTTTACAAACAGATGTTAAACTGAAAGAATGAATAGAACTATAAAAGAAATTTAAGATTTTTTGTTAATTATAAACAAGATAATTGAAATAAATATTTACTAGCAATAGAATTTGTATATAACAATTCTAAACAACATTTATTGAATTTATTAGATTATAGACAAATATCAGAAGTTTTTGTAACAATAGTTGCAAATAAACTTAGTAAAGTTTATATTGTTCTATACAATACAACTTTCAATTACTTGAACCAATTATGTCCTCCTATTTTCAATATACTACCTTCAAAAAACAACTTAAAAAACTTAATATCTTGTATCTTAAACAACTCTATACTGCAGATAATACTACCCTACTCCAATGAAATTATCTTTCATCTCACTTAGTACAGCTATCCAAAGAACATAAGTCATTTTGGTTTACATGTCTAGAAAATACTATAACAACTAACAACAGCTCTAGAATACTAATTCCACAATATCAACAAACCGAACACAACTCTTTTAGTTACAACTCTCAACACATCTCTAAAAAACTTAAATCCTGGTTACTAATATACAATAATAATATTATTATTATTGACAAAATTTGCAGATATTTTTAAAAAGAACAACCAAATCTCTATTATATAATGTAAAACAAATATTAATACAGAACTCTTTACTTACTATCTTCTTTCATTAATTCAATGCTTAGCTTATACAGGTTATTACCTCAACTTATATAGAGTTACAAATTGCTGTATAATTAATGTATCATCAATAATTTCTATCCAATTTCTTGGAAAAGTTTCTTCTAATACTCTTAATTTTAATGCAAACTATATTGATCTGATTTATTCAACTACAATTAAACATCTATTATCTCTACCTTCTGTTCCTACTATTTATATCTTTGACTCTCTTATGTTAGAAATTTTTGAGCAAGAAGAAGTCATATATATACTCAAACAATATTTTCTTACTAATATAATACAAAATACATTTAACTTCCATACTGATGGTTCTATAATTGACATCGGTACAGACCAATATACAATGAATATTGGATGAATACAAGTTAATAATTCTAACCAAATAATTACAAATTCTCAGCTAAAATTTATTACTGATCATCTTCTTACAAAGCTAAACTAATGTCAATTCTTTCAACTATTTCAATCACCTTTCGTAACTTAATAATCAATATCTTCATTGATTTTTAGTCTATAATTACTAAATATTCAAATATATATACTGTAATAAAATTTACTAAAAACTATCAAGTTGTAGCAAATTTTAAAGTGATGAAGGTCGAGTGGAAGATCTTT